AAATAGGACTGGCAATCACTGTCATAGAGTGTGTTTGGAGAGATGGCAGCTGCACTGTGTCATATCGTGGAATGGCAAGAGCAAGGACAGGCATGAGGAACACCTGGGAGACCTTTCAACATCTGTCACTGCTGGAGGCAGCTTCTTAAGAAATGCCACAAAGCTGTTTGGAGGGAAGAGGGGTCCCAGAGGCACCCACCTTCTCTCTATTTCATGAAGCAGTTTTGGCAAAATGCTCCCTTCTGTGCTGGGAGCAGCCATGCAGCTTCCCAGCTGACTGGAGGAATCTCTTCTGGAAACCACAGCACCATTCAGCCTCTGTGACCTGTTTAAGTCAGGACTGTATCCAGACACTGCTAGTAAACTCCTCCATGGACTACCTGAGGCTGCCTAAGATAATACCAGTGCCTATGTTTGGATTCCATCCCTCCATTCCTCATTTCTTCTTTTCAAATATGACATTATTGCACTTATTCCAGGGGTGCTGTGTATTTGCAATGGAGGCAGAACAGCTGGTCTAGCACAACTAAAGGCAAAATAAAGATTCTCTCCTCTGTCCATCTTGAGCAGTGGTCCTCTGCACACTCCTCCTCACCTGATGCAGATGAGGTTCTCCCCATCATCAATATGTTCTTTTACATAAGCACAGACGGAAAAGTTGTTGGATGGGGACAATGACCTCTAAACTGAGATCCAGATTGAAAAAGAGCAGGGTAGGTCTGACCCACCAAGCAACAGTAGTCCCCAGAGTAACATAGTGATTCATCCAGTTTCTCTGGCATGAAGAGATGACCTTTCTGTGGGCTTTTTTTTTTCTTTTTAATATACTGTAACTACTCTTCAAATATTTTGCTGTCACTTGTTATTTGAAGCAGAGTTGACCTTATAGCCAACTCCATGAATAGATGCTTTTTTGAAAACTGAGTATTAAAAATTACATAGGTAAGTGCCCCTTGTTGGACACTGATATTAATTGAGCCTGCAGTGAGAGCAATATACAAATAATACATAATGTAGTTCAAATTCAAGGCTTTGTTAGTATAAAGCAAGATATTAAAGCAAAATAAGAACTCTGCTTATTGGGTTTCATATTTGGAAAATTTCAGAAGACCATCAGTTTGTTGCTGGCTACAGCATGGTGTAACTTCATTGTGAGGTGACATCTATCTTGGCTTTGCTTCAAAGAACACTGAATGTGTGCACATGTCTGCACTTGGGCCAGAATATGCAGCAATGGAGCATCTCCATTACATTTTCCAAAGTTATGGAGGTCTGGCAGCACCCTGTTCACTTCCTTGACTTGCTGTACAGCAGCCTGCTGTGCTCTGCTCTAGCGTGAGGATGATGACCTGACTGTGGCAACCTGTGTTTAGCAGATTTCTTAGTCTTGTTTTAGCATATCTGTGGAGTTGTCATAACTATGGCATTTATTTTAAAAAGCATTCTTGGACACCATTTTTAAAACTGCCAGGCAATTAAATTTAAATTTAGAGAAGTTTCTAAAATCTACCTCAAAAATTAAAAATCTGTTTTACTTTGCAGCCCAGCTCACCCTGTGACTGGAGTCAGACTGTTGCTCATCCATGTTGTCAAGCCCTTGCCCAGTATGTGCCTATTGGAAAATGTCATCTTCACTTTTGGGTCTCTAAAATATCATCAGTATTGCAGAAAGATTTGGGGTGGCTCAAGTTATTTCTTTTAACCTAAGGGCATCTCCTGATGGACTGTTTTAAAATGACAACACAAGTGCCTTACCACGAGATGGCCTTTACAAACCACAGCTTTGGCTTCCATCTCCTACAGCATCTGGGGATTATTATTATCACTGCATTTCACTCCACAAAATGGTTTTCCAATGTGGCAAGCCCGTGGGTCGTTATTACCCTTGGGCTCCACAGTTACTAAACAATGAGTCCTCCTCTCTGCCCAGTTCATGAGGGCGTAGACACCATGAACATAAATTTTTGCACAGTTAACTTGGTTGTAGTTATGTGAATAACTATATGTGAAAATTATGTGAAATAACACCTAAAGGGATCACATTTAGAATGAGATTTCAAGGCAGAATCAGCAGGTCCCTCAAAGGTGGTGTCTGAGGCATTCTGTGAGAAGACAGTCCAGCAGCAGGGATGAGCTCCATGCAGGACACTCATGCTGAGAGATTAAATTAAATTTCCAGAACATTTTTCCTGTCCTTGGCTGCTGGAGTGGGAACATTTAGATCAGCAGTTATTAAGGTTAGCACTTAATCTAGTGAGTTCGTGGGGTGCTCTCAGCTCTCATTAGCATCAGCAGATGCTGAGGACATCCAGACCTCAGCCTTAAAAATCACCAGGAGTAGATCAACAAAAGGGACATCAGTGCCTGAACTTGTGGTGTCACCTCAAAGTAGACAGCCAGGTCCCATAAATAATTCTTAGGGTGAGCAGGATATCTTAATAGAAGCTTATAATAAATGCAATCCTTTGTTGAAAGAACCACCAGAGATAACCAATTTTGGCCTAGAGAAAAAAACCCAATACCTATGTCACCCAGCTCTGGCACCTCTCACCAGAGCTCTGCATCTGTTTGTGGGCAAGAGACACCCAATCCCAGCTTTCTCACCTGTGAACACATAGGAGGCTGCTTTTGTTTGAGTGTAGTCAGTAGCCACATGGCTGGAGGTAGGAAAGGGGCTCAGGATCTTGGACTTCAGATCTCCTGGAGCCAAAAGTTTCTCTTACCCCTCTTGTGACAGTCCAATTCATCAGAGTACTGGCTGTCATATAGTGGAAGCTCTTTTGATTTCACATGTTAAAGATGTTTTATTTTGTATAAATAGCAACATTAAGCTACAGAGGGACCAACTGTCTCCAGGTAACAAGGCAGTCCTTTAAAAGATGAACATATGCACTTGTAAAAACTCATATAAAATTATACAAGTTATACAGTAGCATCTACCTTCAGATATGGAATAAAGAAATTGGAAAATCCCATTCTGAAGCAGGAACTTCACCCTACACTGTATTCCAGTACCCCAATGAGACACAATTAGCCACTCCTTTCCTTCAAGATACCAGAACATGTTTAACAAAATAGTCTGTCCAGGTCAGGTCAGGTCAGTCACAAGACTCCCTTGTCTACAGTGAGAATCTTGCGCCAACCTGGCATCAGCTTGAAGAAGGATCCTCTGCAACCTGAAAGGAGTGGAGCAAAGTTTGGTGTTTGAGCATCTTCGCACAATTGAACTCAGAGACTCCATGGGATTTGGACTTGGGATGGGGGGAACAGTTTGTGATAGCTGTGCAGCAACCAGAGAGGTGCCAGGACTGTCTAAATGAAGGAGAGGCAACTAAGAAATCAAATGCTTGTAAACACCTTTTAGGAATTGTGTTTCTTCCATAGATTTTACATGTGATACATCCATCTTTCAAGCCACTGCTCAAAAGTCTGTTAGGGAGAGGGAAGGGAAGATAATCCTGGTGACAAGCCTTTGATTCCCTCTGCTTAGCCTCAGTGTTATAAGTGAAGCCAAAAGCAAGGGCAGGCTGGAGAGACCACAGAACAACACGTTTTCTGAACCTGCATCTCTCCTGTTTCACTTTCTGTCCACTGAAAGGAAGAGTGGCAGAGGAAGGAAAGTGTGCCACCCAGGCACAGGCATTTTCCCCCAAAATCTCCACTGGTTCCATACGGGTCACCTCTTGCTTCTTCTCACTGATCAGCTGTAGCTGCCTGTGTAGCGACTTAAAAGGAAATGTTTCACCTTTGACTCATATCCCAGGATTTAAAAATAATCTAGAAGCTGTTTTGCAAAGGCACAGGTGTTCTTTAATGTCTTTTCCCTGAGCTTCAAACATCCTTTCCTGCCTCTCCATTTCTCCTGCTTTGGTCTCGGGACATTTACTTGTATCTTCTCTGACAGATTCTGGTTATCCCCCTTGTGACCACTTAACTGCTGTTAGTTGCTTTAAAAATAAATACAGACACTAGGGGAAAGAATCTTAATAGAAGCACAATATGTTCATGTTAATATAAGTACCTATTAACTCTGGGCTTCCCAGCACAAGAGCAAACCATCTGAAAATCAGGCTATGGAGACTGGATAAATCTACACTATTCTCCCTGGTATTCCGTACGCAATTAAAACTCATTTAAAACTCAGCCTGCAATCTGAGTCTGTGATCCACAGTGTCCTGCAGCACAGAGTTGTTCAGTGCCCACAGGAACTGTAGAAGAGGAACAGAGGGACAAAGAAACCACCACTGCTTGCATAATCCTTCATAGGCAAGCCACTGTTGATTGTAAAGTACAAACAGCATGTGGAATTTGGGTATTTAAGGATGTTATGCTGGGTACAGAACCATTTCACCCCTGTGCTCCTGATGCAGAGTTAATTCCGGGTCTGTTGGTGGTAGAGCATCCCGACAGAGACGAGCAGTAATTATCCTACCCAAAAGAGGGCAGCAGTTAAACTTCTACCGCGCAGTTCACGTTGTTTTCAGAAATGGTTTTTAGCAATGACAAATGTTGTTTCAAGTAGCTCAATGACTGGGAATTGTGCCAGAGCCTGACAGTAGAAGCTGTTATTTTATTGATATTTCTCGAAAGGAAGTCAAGCCTGATTATCCATGTTGACACTCAGAAAATGCAAAGTAACATTTAAATTCATAATAAAGGGATGAGGATGCTTTCTGTAAGAGTGAGGATGTTAATAATTTAATTTAAGTCAGTCATTGAGCTGCAAAGTGAATTTCAATGTATCAGAAAAGAGCAGACAGAACCAGAGATCTGCAATCAGTTTCTTCTCTGCCCCTTGAGCTCCAGCTGCTGTTGCTGGGGTTGTCTAGTTGCTCCCTGTGCCACACCACGACTTGTCCTTACCACAAAGTGACTCCTAAGTCCACTCATCACACTGTTTTCTTCTTCTTGCCCCTTACAGCAATGCTCTGTGGTTCAAGCTTTTCCCTACTGTTATTCAGCTGCTAGAAAGAGCTTTTCTTCCAGATAAACTGCTTTTCATCTCATTAATTGGTTCTCTTTTTTTTTTTTTTCTGCTGCTGAAGCTTCCACATTCTGGCCAGGGGAGCCTCCAGAAGCTCCTTGCCATCCTTGGCCCAGAACCCTGGAGTCCCAAGGCTGGAAGGGGTCCTGCAGGTCCAGTCTCCTGTGCTGAACTCAGAGCAGGCAGCATAAGGTCACCTCAAGGTGTCTTACAGGTACCAAAACAGGAATGTGCTGGAAGCAATTTACTCTGCTTTGGCAAAACCATGTACTAAACCAGCTGATTCTTGAGCCAGCTGTTATAAAACCCTCCCAGCTATCGCCACACTGAGCAATTAGAATTTTTGCAGCTTGCCACCAGGTTTCTCACCCTGTGAAGGAGATCTTGAAGTGGGCTGAATGTAACAGAAACCAAACACAAGAGTAAAGCACTGCAGAGAGAGGCGCTGCTGTCACGGTTGCTCAGCAGGCTGCCCCCAGTTGCCTCCAACCTGCTTGAGGTTCTTCATTTTGCTGTGACTTTGAGTTATAGGCTTCAAGGTTGTGGCTGCATTAACTACCAAGGCCAAGTGCAAGGCTGCTAGGAATATGGAATTTGCTTTGGCTAGGGAACTACATAAGGCAGGGATTGGTCTTGATTACTATGTGGAATTTGAGTTCTTTGAGTCAAAGAACACCAGGAGGCCCCTCCATCAAACAGCACCAGTTTATGGGGACATGAAATATGGAGGCACCCCAGAATATTTTTTCCTGTGGGCATCACATGCCACTCTTAGCCTGGTACCTGTGAGGTACCTCATGTGCCATGGTTAGCTGTGACAGTAAAGACACAGGCTTGGCTATCACCCTGGGTGACTCCATGTCCCCAAAATGTGCCCTTCTGTAGCAACAAGATGACAAATCTCCTAGGCCATGACAATCTGCTCTGCTTTGCAACTCACTGGCCCTATGTCAGGCTGTCCCAACTAGTGGGGACAGAAAAACATCCCTAGGGGATGGGACATTAGTCCACTAGTGCCACTAGGATGGGCACAAACGCTTGGGTACCACTTGGCTTTAGGAGTGGTGACTGCTCATTGCTCTGCTTCTGCCACAGCAGGTGTAAGAATTCCTGCCTCTGCACCACACTCGCTCCTGTTTGTCTGCTGTGGCTCTTGGGTTAAAGGGCCAGAAATGCTTTCACATCAATACATCTTGTCATCTGCACTACTCTTTACCTTCCACTGGGAAAGCTGCCAAGCACATCTGGGCTATGGTTCATTTTGAAAACAGCACTAACAATGCATTCCTGCACCGCTGCAAACATGCAGACGCTTGGGACACCAGTTCCAGCCACCACTGTTCCCCTGACTTAACCACGGTAGAAAAGAATACTTCCAAATCAGCAAAGCACAGCATTGCAACATAAGGGAATACTAAGGGAAACAGTGCACAGCAGTGTCAGTGCCTCACCTACAAGCTGGGGTAAATAACCTTTACTTGTCCTGCTCTGGCACTTCACAGAGCGACGCTTCCCAGCGATCAGCTTGGCCACGGGAATGGGCTGTGTGGAGCATTCCAGCAGCTTGGCCAGCCCCAACCCAGGCTGAAGGTGCTGCTCTCTGTGCTCCTGGTCTGTCCCCAGTGTGTGACACCCTCCACCGATGGCACTTCAGGTACTGGTTCCAACCATCATGTCCTCAGAAACCTTCCTGCTGTGATTCCCATTCCTAGCCCTGGCTGGAATATGGATTAAACTTCAGAAGGGGGCAAGAAGATTGATAACATCAGAGCTACATGCAGGATGAGGCTGTCAGTTAAGTTCATTTTAATTTCGGATATTAGTTGGATTTGTTTGACCTCCTTTGTTATTTTAAGAACTAGTTTAAGTTGGCAGGTCCTGCTATGTGGGAAATTGAATGTTAAAACAATCCTTCAGGCCTAAATTGGAATGCACAGTTGGAAATTTCCAAGAAATTGTATTTCCAAAATCTGTTCTGGAAACTTCAAAATTACATAGTCACAGCAGTTCATTTTAATGTTTGCAATTCTGAATATAGTGTGTTAAATATAAAATATAAGCCCTTTGCCTTTTAACTACATTTTTTTGGTTTGATTTCTTTGGAAACAAAATATTTTTATCATGTTTTAGATATATGATTGTAAATGCACGGGTAAGTTCTCCCAAAATATTTCCATTTTGTCAAACCAATATTTTCCTATGTGAAGTATTTTCTTTGGGGAAAGAAAACCCACTATGGATTTGAATTCACGTCCTTCTGCCCAGGGATTGGGTCTCCAGCACCACAAATAGAGTTCCCTGAGGAAAACAGCCTGTCCCCAGCCAATCCCTGGGAACAGAAAGACAACTTTTTTTCTGGGAGATATTTTATTTAGATAATTATTCCAGGATTAAGCATTTTGGGGGGCAGAGCACTGACATGTGTCAGTGTTACAGTCCCTCTGCACAGCAGGGACAAGGCACACACTGGATGTGGATGATGGATACAGAAAAGGCACTATTACTCCTCTTGGTGACATGCCATGGGTGTCCCACCAGATTTGCAGCACATCATCATCATTCCTATCAGTGCTCTGCCATTTAGCTAGCACTTCTTCCTGTGAAAAGGTGCCTGATCTGTGGCAGTCACCTCATTCACCCATGGCTGTGTGGGCGCACATTTTCTGAAATGGGCTGTTTTAAGGTGAGAGTTGTGTTCTGGCTGTGCACAGCTCTGCTCAGTGGTGGGCAAAGGCGGGGGAACAGCCAGGGTGGTCCGTGCCCCAACACCTCAACAGCTGCAGAATCCTTCATGCAGCCCTTTAGCCATAACTCCTTTCAGGATCTTTTGGCTGGGCACTGTCTGACCATGCATTCCTGCAGCTGTGGTACAACGCTCAGTGGTGACGTGAGGTCTCTGTGCGGGGCCATGATGCCAAGAACAACCACAGAACCCCCACAGCCAGGCTCTCAAGGACTTGGGGACCAGCACATCTGGTTGGTGACAGCCATCTTCTGTTCCACTCAGCCTCAGGCCTTTGTGCTGGGGGAGGATGGAGGCTTTTCCTGGACAAAAGTCTGGCTGGCCAGTCCCAGTGTGGGCTGCAGCCCACGGTGAGTCTGAGGTTGGACTGGAGATCTCCAGAAGTCTCTACCAACTGTGGCATTTCTGTGCTTCTATTGTCTGTTCATCCCTGGTCCCAGCCAAAGCAGATCCAGTTGTAAAGCCAGCCTTGATACCTACTGCTCGTCCTGCCAGCCCCTGGTCAGCTTGGCTATCTGCAGTCTTGCTGGTTTCCACCCAAGTGAGTTCCTCCTACTAAAAAAACCCTTCCTTTTGTTGAGTTCTGTCATAACATCTGGGTAAAGCACACTTTACACAGATGCTTTTGAAGCTGAATTTTGACTTTTCTTACCTGTTAGATTTCATGCCTAGAAAACCAAACCAAAAAACCTCTTACCCATCCTTCAATGTTGAGGCAAACCCAAACTTATAAACAGCTGGAGAACATACCTGGGAAGTATTGGATAACTGAGCCTTTCATAAGAATGTGCCAATGCACACTTTTGTCCTTGTGTAAGGGTTTCAGTAGCACAGTTAGACACATAAAAGGTAAATGTGTGTTCCCCCCTTTCCTTTTTACTGGCTGTACTATTGAGCATGATGAGGTCTCTTTTTAGTGAAATTAACTGCTTTGAAATTGGCATCAGACCAGGAAAAGCCACAGGCAGTTGCTGAGCTGAGCTTACTGCTGCTGTTGAGGCCAAGAATGACCAATGCTATGGAAAGCAGCTGTCAAGAAGACACAGTAACTCATCAGAGCATGAGGCCACCACAAGAGGCTGAGGAGAGGCTGCCCTCAGGAGCGGTGATTTAATTTTCAGACTTTGCATTACTAAAGATGTATTGCATTACTTCAGTGGGTTAACTTTGCCGTGTTACTGAGTTACCTGCAGATCATTCTCCTTTCTAGTTCAGTTTCCCCTCTGGCCACAGAAAGCCATCAGAGCTCCCTTTGGAAAGGAGCAGAATTGTGCAGCCAACTGTTGTCCTGAAAAAAGAAAGGAAAAAACCTCACCTATAGCTGCCCAACAGCATAAAAGCAGGAGAAAAAAAAAAGCACTGTAACTTATGACAAGCATATTTATGGGACAGTTGATGTGGCCTTCACAGGAACAGCCAGGAGTTTAGGGAAAAGCTTTCCATCTGTGGCTACACTTTGCGGCACGTGGTGAGCTCCTTTGCGGCACTTGGCTGGGCTCACCTCGGGGTTAGCTGTCGCTGCGCTTTGCTCTGAAGCAGCCCAGGGAAAGGGGCAGTGTGGAAGTGGGGCAGCAATGCAGCCTCCCTTGCCTGCACAGCAGCACCCAAAGCTGCAGGCCTGGCTCGCTGTGAGGACACGTGCAGACTCCCGCCTGTCCAGCAGGACTCCCTGGGAAGGCTGCTGTGTGCTCCCAACAAGGGCGAGACCAACAGGAGGTATCAAGAGTGTTCTCCCCAACACGTGCACCTGCACGGGGTAACCACTGCAGGCTGCAGCAGGGCTGGACCATCTTTAAAGTCTTTTTCCTGGCTGCCACTCATGGCCTGAGAGGATCAGCTATCTCCCTCGGCCCATGTGTACCTCTTGCACATTCAGTTTCCCCATTTCTTACAACAGCTAAGTACCTTGGGCTTTCTTGGGTCGTGGGGATGAGATGGGGCGTGCCTTTATCTTTTGAGCCTCACTGAAGTTTGAGAAACACTTAAGATCACTCAAGGTCTGCTTCACGAAGCCCCATTTTCTTCAGACATTTAAAAAATAATAGACACTGTCACAGGTATTTTTCAACTCACAGCATTGAAGTAAAGGCACTTTGGAAACCACGAGAGCTGCAAGTCAGCGCATCCATCAGTCCGTTCAAATTTCTGCTGTCCGTGTCACCAGGCTCCAGTTTCTTTTGCAAGGCCTGGAGCTACTGTTGGATTTGCAGAAGGTGACCCCAGCTTTATGGATCAGATCCTCAGTTTGTTTGGCTAAGATGGAACCCAGGACTCCGTTCTTACAAAAAGCTGCCCACTGTTCATTCACTGCTCAGAACAGAAACACGAAGTAGGCACAGTTTCCATGTTCTTAGCTGAAGCAGATTTCTCTGCTAGGAAAAACATTTTTACACTTTTTTTGGGTGTGTGTGTGTGTGTGTGTGTTTTAATGGTTGCTATTTCTACATTATCTATTCTTAAGATTATTTCCTGTAGGAAAGATTTATTATTTTTAATTCCAATAGTAAATTTAGTAACATTTGCCATTTTCTGCCAATGTTTCTGCATTTTGGGATAGTACCAAATTATATGTTCTAAATTCCTCTTCTCGTTGCAGTTTCTCTAGGAAAGCTTTTAAGGCAGTTATTTCATACCTCAAAAATTACAGGGAAAAGAATTTTCTTGTGCTCGTGAGACCAATTTTCCATCCAGTTCCAGGCTATCGCCTGCTTCCTGCATAGCCTCATTCTTCCATTTCCATTTAAAAGTCAAATGCTTCTCTCCCTCATTTAGCTTTCATGTTGCTCAAGATAGGCACCTGGTTTTAACTTTCACTGCCAGTTCTTTTCCATCCAAGTAGGAATAATTTGCTTCTCAAGAACTGCTGCTGCTGCTTAGCAAATCTGGCCCTGCTGAAGAGTACCGGTATGAAAGGTTTGTAGAGGCTCCTTTCTGTTCCTGGCAGCCCTGCTATACAAAGTTTTCTGGTTTTTTATGAAGTTGTCTGGGTTGGGTTTTTTTTTGTTTGCTTTGTTTTGTTTTTGAGGAAGGGGTATTTAAATACTAACCCTGAATTTTTATAACCTCTGAAAAGAAGATCCTTGATTTTGCAGGAAGTTCAGCAGGAACAAGAATTAGAGCCAGCCTCAGGATGTGGCACAAGGTTTACCTGTCCAAATTTTATAAAATTTACTCCCAAGTTTCTGTTTACCTCTACAATGTCTGCAAAGGATGAGAGGCTTCTACAGACAGTGCCTGATAAACTTGAAAGATTGGTTTTTCAAATTAGTTCTTTAGGTGAAAGGAGAGTTGGCTTCTGTTCCCTGCAGCACAGATTGTAAATCAGTAATGGTGGAAGCACCTGTTTCCTTCTGGGCTGGTTTCTCTTGTTTTGCTTAGTTGCAGAGATTCTGTATGTGCAGGTGAATTATTTACATTCTAGAAATGAATCAGAGGCAACAGCCAGAGGGGGCCAGCCAGAGTTGTGGCTGCCCTGGCAGCACCACACTGCACAGGAAGTGACCGTGTTCAGTTTTATCTATTCCATTCCATATCTATTCCATCCACTGACCTGCTCACTCCAAACCAAGTTTTACCTGGAATCCTGCTCCTTATTCTTAAGGGCCGTGATGATAGAAGGAATAGTCTGAAGGTGCCCCGAGATTCCACATCAAATGCTGCAGGAGAGATGAGATTTGGATCTTATGTTTGTGGCTCAACCCCATCAATAACATTACAAAAAGAAACCCACTAAAACTTCTGCCTTAAAGGAGGATTGAATAACACGTTACACATTGTAGATTTTGATTCAGATTTTTAATAAATTCTGCCAGTAGAAGCTTTCAAAGGCAATGATATATCAATAAATAACAGTTAAATTGAGTTCCTGAGAAAGAACCTACCACATGAAAGAATGTCAGATAGATGTAAATAACAAAAAAATGGCATTACTATATAAAAAAGCAGTAATACTGAATCTTACATGAACTGTCACAACACAAGCACTGCATACCTCAGAACATTCCTTTCATACAAATGTAAACAAATACACAATCATTTTTGTTTAGTTTAGGCTGATGAATTCATATGTTGTTGCTTAGATATCTAAACAATGGATAGGATAGGATATGCTAAAACATTAAGGAATAATATGTGGAATAATATACGGAAAAAATAATGAAGCTCCAGATTTAAAAATAAAATAAAGCAAAAACACATTAAAGGAGTGTTTTCATCAAATGTTATTAGGTCAATCACTTTAAATAGGACTGTTACACTAATCTGAATTATGGATTTTTGTGTGTGTTTACTTATTTAGTTATATATAATATATATGCAAATATGTATGGCTTAATTATCTTTAGTATTCTGATATCATCTTGAATAATTCTCACTTATACATACAAGAAAAATGCATATTTTAACATAGTTAAAAACTGATATTTCAAAGTATGCCTATAATTTGAGAGAAATGAAGGCCTATTGTGCTCCATCACAGCAACATTTTAACCTCTAGACAACGGGACAGAATGACCTACCAAAAATGCCAACATTTCCCAATGTCAGTGCCTAAAACACTAGGATCCTAAATGGATATACATGTGGTGTCTGATGTCTGGAAAGCCACATACCTCCAGGTTCCATAGGTGTCCGTGGAGCTGCAGGCACCCAGCCTCAGCCTCGCTGCACCCGGGGCCTTGGCGCATTACGGGAGCCCCGTGCTGGGAGACGCTTCGGTCTGGATGCTGTGCTGCCTCTGCCAGCTGGAGCCATGGCCTCTGTGCTGTTCTCTGCCCGAGCCACGGCCTCTGTGCTGTTCTCTGGAGCCATGGCCTCTGTGCTGTTCTCTGCCCGAGCCACGGCCTCTGTGCTGTTCTCTGCCTGAGCCACGGCCTCTGTGCTGCTCCCTGCCCGAGCCACGGCCTCTGTGCTGCTCTCTGCCTGAGCCATGGCCTGTGTGCTGCTCTCTGCCCGAGCCATGGCCTGTGTGCTGTTCTCTGCCCAAGCCACAGCCTCTGTGCTGTTCTCTGCCCGAGCCATGGCCTCTGTGCTGTTCTCTGCCTGAGCCACGGCCTCTGTGCTGTTCTCTGCCTGAGCCACGGCCTCTGTGCTGCTCTTTGCCTGAGTCACGGCCTCTGTGCTGTTCTCTGCCCGAGCCATGGCCTCTGTGCTGTTCTCTGCCCAAGCCACGGCCTGTGTGCTGTTCTTTGCCTGAGCCAGCTCCATCCAGGCTCTCCCCACAAATCTGCTCCGTTGTAATGTTCTGGCTGCTGATCCTCATTGGGAAATGTGTATGCCCGTGACATGTGCTTGCTAAAACCATCTATTACATCAGACCACAACATCACTACTCAGGTATAACCTTTGCAATCTGTTTTACAAAATTAATATTGGATACAATCATAAGAGGAAACCATCCACACAATACATTATCAACACACGGTTTAAAACGGTCTAATTTTAGACCCTTAGAAAAATGAATCCACAGGACCTGCCTGTGAATGGCAAGAAAAGGCCATTTCAAATAGAAAACCACTGCTCATGCAACATTCTTCACACGCTAGACAATGAAATCACACCCAAGTTGCCACTTGCTCACACTTTCTATTACACTCCAATAAGCAGAAGGAAATAAAGCAGCTTTAAGGTTATGTCACGATTTTGAAATGTGGAAAATACATATAATAAACAAAAATCACGGTGTGAATACAATGGCATCAGTAAAATTAGAAAATTAGAGAGCAGTTTTCTTTTTTTCATTTTTCTGCTTCTTTTTTTTCTTTCTTACATTATTGCACAGAGACCTTTCATCACATGTTCTTCAGCTTTATGCATCTTCCTAAATGTGAAGTAAGTGCTATGGATAAAATAAAAATGTAGAAAAGAAGAACAGCAGCATGATTTGTCAAAGTTAATCCCTATAATTTAGTAGGAAAAAAACCCTGCTATAAACAAAATATAAGTGCTCTTTATTTATTTAAAAAACAACGCTGACAGTTGCAGAAGTCTGTAAGTGTTAATCTGAGTAAGGGGGATGCTGACCTCAAATAAAAATAGGCCAGAAATAACAGACTGCTGGCCTTGCAGATTTTGATGAAGACCAGGATTTCAAGTGTAATTATCAACAAAGTTATTTACAGTAGAACTGACCTGAACTTTCAAGAGTGCCATCTTTAGGACCTGGCCCTGCAAGCTTCTTTTACTCCCCAGGATGTCTCCAGCCTCAGCTGAAGGTACACAAGTGCTGCAGGATCAGTTCCTAAAGGATCAGTTAAAGGCCCTACAGGATTTGAGATTAGTCTTATCTGAAGTACTCTATACAATAATTTACACATATACAGGTTGACAAGCTCCAGTCTGATCTACCACACCTTTGTCTTCTACATCAGACTTCTCAGACTGGCAAACTTCCATTCCAGAAGGTTTGGGATACCTGAACGGATATCCATTGTCATCAAAGAATCTTCGGAAAGTAAACTCATAAAAAGCATGTTCTGTGTGTTTGCTGTTGGAAGAGGCTAGTGGATCCCAGGTCCTGGTACTGTCACCACTAGCATCACTCCAAGGACTTTCTTCTTCAACTGGATCAAAATTTGAAGTGTCCATTGGATGGCTGATCTTTGGAACATAGGGAGCTGGCTGCCTACGGATATCGGTAGAGAAGTCCATAGAGTGAAAGAAAGAATGGGCTTTAATATCATCTGCTCCATTTCTTCCAAGCCTGTCCTCAGCAGCACAGCAGAGCTTTGTGATCAGATCAGTTGCCTCAGGGCTCAGCTTGATCTGTGAGGGAATGTGCAGTGTGCTTTCCCAATTTATCACCTGCAGGTAACAAAGGTATTAAGGAACTTCTGATCTGGAAACAGAACTCTTCCAATGGCCAACATGAACTGTACAGGAGCACATATAACAAGTAATCTCACAGTCTTCATAGTTCACAGCTTCAAGATTTCATTTCCTGTTAGTAATTACTCTAATGAACCAAAGAAACATTGCTGGCTAGCAGACAAAAGGAACAATTCCATTTTTTAAAAAGGCAAATTCCTACCCGAATGTTCCCATAGATGGATTTGAGAACATACTCAGTTTACACAAAGGAATTATTTATCTTTGTCTCCAAAATGTAAACTAGGAAAAGTGGTCACAAGACAAATCCTTTCTAGAAAAGAACTATCACTGCTCAACTTTGACACTTATATTGTCAACCACAATTGTCACTGGCATATTAGGTACTAATAGGCACCCTAAGGAATTAAATGGATGAACTTGTGTTTGAGAAATCACAATTTTGCTGAGAAGACTCATAAAACTAATATCTATCTCTGCAGCTGGACAAGTCAGCTCTAGTTGGATATTCAATGTATTATTTTACTGGCAAAGGATGTGTGCTTGCACAGAACTATTTAAAATCAGGCTTTTTTAACCATTGCTTCTTTCTCTAGCAAAAGAAACTGGAGCAGGTCTGGGAAGGCAAGGGTTGAAATTTTGCTACCACAGACTGGAACTTTGCTTTAACTTACCTTCAGCTGGGTTTCTGTGGGTGTGGGAGCCAGGAAAGGAGGCTGTCCCACTAACATCTCAAAGAGGATGACGCCAACACTCCACCAGTCACAGAGCTGAGTGTATCCTGAAAGGCAAGTCAAAAGGTTGACCTCCACTAGCTAAGGAGAATGTGTATAGAGCTATTAGAGCTACTTGCAATTAAGTATTAAAACATACAGCACAAACTTCTGCCTTTTCTCCAACAAAAGGTTTGTGACTTCTGCTTGCTGACCCACTTCTACTGCTGTTTACTTCTAGTAAAGATCAAATCCTATTGTCCTTGAACCTTTCTGAATAAATTCTCAACAAAAGTGAGTAATGAAAGTATCATTAGAAAGAATGAAGGAGTTTTTTTTGTGCTCAGTCCCACAGCTATGCAGCACAAACTGAACCTCAAATGACAAAAATGTTTAGCAACTGATGTCCACCTTAGGTTCAGTGGAGGTGACTCCACGACTTTGAAAAGCTGCTGAAAGACACAGCCTGGCTCTACAGACAAGAAAGCTACAGATGACTCTCTGAGCAAGTTACAAGCAAAGGAATGACTTTAATCACTTAAGTTCTGTGACATGACCAATAAGGTGTATGTTTAACATCTGGAAAAAAAAAATTAAACACTGATTTCAATGGAATTTCTGTAATCAAATGATGTAGGATCCAATGTGAAATCTCTGTTAGAGAAGATCAGGCTCAGGATCTAGCCTGCAGCCAACTCTGAACACCTAATCTTCTCACTACTGTGACTGTGTCAGTTATGCATGGATATTCACCAAGTACTGCCCAAATTCCTCAAGCTAACCTTTTGAATGCAGGGTGTCCAGAGCAAATTGTGAAAACTTTCTGTTGGGTTCCACAGGTTCTGGCTGGGAATAAGGAGGACATACTTCCACAAGTTTACACCACCCATGCTGAAGTGGCCCATCTGAATCAGTGATCCAGAACTATCAGCTGGCTACTCACTGGTCTGTGTAAACTTGGTAGGGGTCAGAGTTGTATTCCATGAGTACAGATAATCTACTTTATACTTGAAAGATATCACTGTTAAAATTATCCAACACATTTATTAGCAGCCTCACTCAAAGGCCTCAGAGTGTGGACATTACA